CTGAAGAAAAAGATATTAACACAAAACACCAAATATTCATAAACAATTTTCTTGTAAAGTTGAAGATAACCATACAAGTGCTCCTATAAACCAATGTATAGTATCGAAAAATAAAAGGAATAAGCTGCAATATATATAACTCACAGATGTACAAAAGAGGTCATCCAATGCCTTCAAGTGCACTAATGCTGAATGACATAATGAAGAGTGAAGTACATACTTACATGACACAAAGTCATTAATGGCCAGAGATGTTTGTCTGGTTCCAACCAAAGAGTACAGACATGAGAAAACAAGTCGTAATTGACCACTACACACTGAATTCTGCAATTTAGATGAATACCACGACAGTACATTTGTGGGCCAAATTAGTGATGATGGTTGCTTAGGTGATTAATGAAGATGAATCCAGCTACTGCCTTTTCATTAGTTTCTTACAGGTACAACATTGTACCCATTACATCCATAATCATCTAAACAGCACAAATTAAGTCAATTACATCTTACTGTTGCAGTAACTCCTAAGTACTACAAGTTGCATTAAAGTGTTTCGTTCTTTTTAACAGCAAAGTATAAACTGGATCAACAATTTCAAATGAAACCATCTGAAATGACTTATTTTTCAACAGCCTTGAGTAGCACAAACATTCTCCTTTCTTAGCATATCATCTGTTTGGCAGTTCCTCACTGTAACATTAATTTTATTGTACAAGATATAAAATGGCTAATTAAAAAAATCTTGCTTGCCATAAAAAATTCTCTCAACTTTGTTAACTGTGGACCATGAATTGGCAAATGCTAACGGTACTCAGAAAAAAAAAAAAGGAGGGGATTTAAAGCTAAAAAAAAAACCAAACCCCAAACCATTTTTTGAAGCTAAGCTATTTCAATGTAACTTGTGGACAAAGAAAACTGAATTTCTAATATATGAAGTCTCGTTTCTATCACCATGCATACTGATACAATTTATGCCTTCACATCAACAACATAGCACCAGACCTAGCAGCACAATTATCTTGCACACCTACAGAAAGACTGCAAAGACAAAGTTGACTCAGTACAGAAGAACAACCTTTATGAAGTTACAGAACTAAACTATCATTTCCCTCCCTCTTTCTGAACCCACAATTGCTTATTTAACTACTGAAGAACAACATAATTGGCAATGCAATTCTAACTGAGGTATGTAGGATGGAGAAACTTGCACACAGATAGCCTGCATACAGTCAAAGGCCGAACTAAGAAGGCATAACTGATGTAAGGATGCTGGATGCACAGTTTCTGGGTTAAGGAGGCTTATAAGAGGAAAAAAAACAAGATATGAAGGATGAGAAGCAGGAGAAGGTTAACTGTGGGAAAGGGTAAACTGCTGAATCACAAGGAAGGAAAGGGGGGGTGGATTTAAAGTACAATGCTCATAAGAGCATGTTGATCTACTGCTCCTGTACAAGTAACTACGGAACATGTGTAATGTAATACTTAGTAATGTATATGACATATCAAGTTAAATAATTTCAAACTGACAGATACACTTATTATTTTAGACCTTGGAATTTAATATGAAAAATAAATTATTTTTAAAACCAGGCTCCTAGCCCCTTTCATCCTAAGTAGATTATATTTAGACTATTTCAGTAAACTTATTTTAAGCATTATGTGATATTTAAAAGTCTGAGCAACATAAAAGTGAGCTTTCAATTCTTCTGTTCTTTGAACTCTTCTTCTGTAAAGATTACAAAATACAAAAAAAAACCCAAAAAAAACAAAACCAAACCCACAACACAGAAATCATGTCCAAGCGTTTCTTCATTGCTTTAAACTTGCTTCTGTTCCAAAGATACGACTCTCAGTTTGTGTTACCATCTTCTAATCTGTACAGCACTCTACCACCATACCAGATGCCATATAAAACAAAGGACTGCAAAGGGTTAATTCTGAGATATTACACATGGACATATATGCTATTTACTCTAGAAAACTTACGGAGTCCTTTATAGTCCAACATCATTTACAGGCAAATAGTCAGATAAATTAAATCATTAACCAACTGTTTGGGCCCAAACAGAAGAAAATACTTCTATTTCCTAACAGGATGTGGTACTTATTTTCTCCCCTTTCCCAGGCAGGTCATTAGAAAAATCTCTAAGACAGGTTCTTTTACTTAAAGCTTTAAATGAAAATCTTCAGTTCGTTGGGAGAAGAGATGGTACTTCAGGTACTCGTGAGAGGAGCAAGAAAATAAGCGTAGGAGTACACCAAGGGAGACATTAAGAGAATGGTTCTAGAGGAGTGAAGGGGTGGAAGTGTAGGAAGAGACAAGAACAGACGTAGGCTGAAACCTTCGGAGTTTGCACTTAGAAAAGCAAACCCAGTATGTAAGAAGTGCATGTAATATTGGAGGCACTAGACGAAGGCAGGGGTGATGGCAATTTGGATGGACTCTACAAATCAAAGAAGGAGAGGAATGGGGGAAAACAAAGCTATTTTCCCTGCGGCTGTACTAAGGTAGAAGGACACTAAAGTGTAAATAGATTAGAACCAAGGTGAGTGGAGTATGAGAATATGCAGAGAGAACCACACTTCGACCACGAGCAAAATTACAAATCACCTTCTGAAACTGCTTCACAAAAACATTTGAATAGCAATTTTCCCTAGCAATTGGAGAATGTACCTGTTGGGACTCTGGAATAAAAATGTTGTAGGGAACCATTTAATTAACTTCCTCTCTGTTTCATAGAATCATAGAATAGCTAGGGTTGGAAAGGACCTTAAGATCATCCAGTTCCAAACCCCCTGACATGGGCAGGGACACCTTACGCTAAACCATGCCACCCAAGGCTCTGTCCAACCTGGCCCTGAACACTGCCAGGGATGGAGCATTCACAACTTCCCGGGGCAACCCATTCCAGTGCCTCACCACCCTCACAGGAAAGAATTTCCTCCTTAGATCCAATCTAAACTTCCCCTGTTTAAGTTTGAACCCATTACCCCTTGTCCTATCACTACAGTCCCTAATGAAGAGTCCCTCCCCAGCATCCCTATACGCCCCCTTCCAGATACTGGAAGGCTGCTATGAGGTCTCCACGCAGCCTTCTCTTCTCCAGGCTGAACAGCCCCAGTTTTCTCAGCCTGTCTTCATATAGGAGGTGCTCCAGCCCCTGAGCATCCTCGGGGCCTCCTCTTGACTTGTTCCAACAGTTCCATGTCCTTTTTATGGACACCAGAACTGCACACAATGCTCCAAGTGAGGTCTCAGAAGAGCAGAGTAGAGGGGCAGGATCCCCTCCTTTGACCTGCTGGTCACGCTCCTTTTGATGCAGCCCAGGATACGGTTGCTTTCTGGGCTGCAAGCACACACTGAAGCCGGCTCATGTTCAGTTTCTCATTGACCAACACCCCCAAGTCTTTCTCCTTGGGCTGCTCTGAATCTCTTCTCTGCCCAACCTGTAGCTGTGCCTGGGATTGCTCTGACCCAGGTGTAGGACCTTGCACTTGGCACGGTTAAACTTCATGAGGTTGGCATCAGCCCACCTCACAAGCGTGTCGAGGTCCCTCTGGATGGCATTCCTTCCCTCCAGGGTATCAACCGAACCACACAGCTCGGTGTCATCGGCAAACTGGCTGAGGGCGCACTCAATCCCACTGTCCATGTCAGTGACAAAGATGTTGAACAAGACCGGTCCCAACACCGATCCCTGAGGGACGCCACTCGTTACTGGTCTTCAGCTGGACATGGAGCCATTGACCACAACTCAATGTTTCAATAAACTGCAAACCAAGCAACTGCTTTCTGAAGCATTTACACTGCAGGCACAATGCAGACCACAGTGGCCTACTCTTGAGCGCGTAAAGTGGAAATCAGAGAGAAGACGCATGTTCCAGCAGCACACTGAGCTGTGTGTAACCTCATCTTACACAGAAGCAGGGATGTATCTGGACTACACTGTGCCAACTCACAGACACATGCTCTTTTACTGCCTCCATGAGGAGATCCACATGCACTGACACAGACTGTGAAACACTTTCTGGCAGATCACTCTCAGCCTGAACTTTAATATCCCCTAGGGATGCTGCTAGTGAATGGATTTCACAAAAAACCAAAATAAATAGCATCAGTTTTAACAGCAACTGACTTGAAAAGTGTTACTTAGTTTATCACAGAAAAAAGAATGTAACATAAACCTCTACTGTTAGCAATATACTGTTTTTTTCATTCTTCTTATGTGGAAAATGAAAAACCTTTAGGAAGAATTCTTCTATGTAATACACACACCGATAAAGCACATCTGGTATGGGGAAGAGAGCAACCACCAATCAAAACATGGTGTAACAAACATGAGAACCCCATTTTCTTAGCAAAACTGGCATCAAGTCTTTCATGTTCTTCTGGCGATATCGGTCTATAACAAACAGGCCTCCCACAAAAGGTCAGAATCTAGTCATACTATTCAGGAAAAAACATTACTCAACCTACCGGGAAAGGCACACACTACAATATGTTACAAATATTCCTGTCTAGGTCACTCCCTTACATCACACAATCCATAAGACTGGACGGCACCTCTTAAGACCACCTAGTCCAACCTTCTGCTCAAGCAGAGCCACAGAGCAGGTCACCATGGCCATTGAGTAATTACAAAATACGCACATAAAAGTATTTCTTACAATATTTTAAGCAACTTGAAGGATGTGATTTATCAAATGGGGCACTACGTGTTTGTTCAGGGTTTTTTTTTAACATCTCAATAAAAGAAGAATAGGGTCTACGTGCCACTTCTATCACATGCTGTCCTGCAGATACAATTGCTTCAGGTTCTAACACATGTCAAGCTAAAATATATATGATTATGATCTGGGCACCTTTTCTATACTGAGCATGCACACTGATACAACTGAAATGCTGGAAAAGAAACTGGCTACAGGTGATCTTGTAAGAGATGTCACATAGAAGATGCTACTTCACGAGGTCTGAAGTATGATTTATAGAAAATAAGACTCACTTGCCACCCCAGATGCAATTCCATAAAGCAGTCCTCCTCCATCACTTTGCTGCTGAAAGACATGGGTCCCCGGAGGAGGGCTTCTTTCTTGTCTAATGAAATTATATAGCAAAGTTTTCACAAGTCTGCTAGTATATGGGAGACTGAAAAGAAAAAGAAAACAGCTTTAGGTGACTCACAACTTGCAAAATTTGGCACAACAAAGCTCAGGCAGGGTGCAAAGGCTGGTGTTTGCCATTAAAAACAGACAGTAGCTCTCCCAGGGCTAAGCAGACTGGAAAGGAAAAGAATGCCAAGGCCTTGCCCATGCAAAGCTGCACCAGCTTGAGAAGGGCTCTGCAGGGGCACCTTTAACAGCAATATTTTTTGTTTTCTTTTTTTCAATAGTACTTTTAAATCAATCAGTTTGTTGAACAATTGTATTCTTTTACCTCAAAACACGACTGTAAAAATATTTGGGCAAGGGAGAGAAACATTATATTGGTTTAGGTTTTGCTCTGCTTTGGTTACATAGAACAGGTAAGAAGAGCATTTTCCTATCCCAGTATTTGTGGGTTTTTGTGAAGCTGCGGTCCATTTGCAAAGACCAACACCACATCTAACCTCGTATCGGTGATTTTGAAAATGCATGTAAAAATTGTTTGATTTAAACAAAATATTTCCAAAACAGAGAAGGATTTCTACAGAAGCAAACAGTTGGTTCCTATTCACATACAATTAAGAGGTGAACAGACAGTCATGATGATATAATTGTAATGATGCGCAATGATGAACTCCAATCCCCTCTAACTAGTAGCCCTCCAACTCTTGGCATTGCCTTAGTTTCCCTGACATCAAATTCCCAGCCCTCTCTCCAGATGCCAAGTATCTGCTACTCCCAACCCAGACCCCCTTAGACCATATTCTCCCAAATATTCCACTTTTTGCTCCAAACTGTCAATTCCATCAGCTGAAGATTGAACTCCATGCATACTGAGGCTCTACCTCTAGCCTGCTGCTACTTCAGGCTGAACTCTGCCCACAGACTCAAAGCTGACCCTTCCTCCTTTCCATACACATCACTCATAGCAGTTCTCCTCTCTTACATCTAGGAGATATTCCAGAACACGAGACGATAGATATGGTTACTAAAAATCTGCCCTTGTGGTATTTAAAGTTGAAAGAGGATGATGCATGCAAGCATCATGACAAAGCATTTAAACAGAACAACTGACTCACCAGAACAAGTGGTATTACTCACATAACCAAGTTTACTACCTGCCAAGTATTTGCACTATCGTAGCGCACATATTTGCTATCTTTTTGAGGGGCTATGTATTTGTACCACAGAAAGGCCCATTAGCAATTCTGACGTTCTCTGGACTGCAGTGCTAGAGGAAAACATCCATACTGGATCAAAAAAATCCATCCTGAAAAGTAAAAGCTGTTTTAAGTTAATGAAATAACCCTCAAAAAATTAAAATGGCTTCCAAAGGAGTTTTACTGAAGTCTGGGCTGTGAGATGTAGCTCTGGAACCTTCCAACAACCTTTACAAATGTTTGCTTCTGTGCTCTGTTTTGTGTTCCATTTTCTTTTGTGCTCCGCTTTCTTTTGTGTTCTGTTTTCTTTTGTGTTCTGTTCTCTTTAGAGCAGAACAAGTTTTCTATCAAACTGTATTCAACTGTATTTGTTTTCAGGTACAAACTGTCTAAAAGCAATCAGAAACATTTGCTTTGCCCTCAGGAACCACCCCAGAACACGACGTACCATCGGCCATGCATCAGGTATTTGTGAATGATGCTCTCCCGCAGAATTTCTTTGCGGAATAACTGGCAGGAGAGGAAGACGATGAGAGTTGTCACAGCTTCCAAAGAAATGCTGTATGTAATATCTCTGCAGGAAAAAAAAAAGGGGAAATTTATACAGGTTAATCTACTGGGTTTGTTTACAAACTGACTTCCAAGAACACTTGGAAGCTTCACCTGAGGTTATACTGTGTAGCACAGCCAGCTTCAACTGGGAACACATAAACACCACATTCAAAAAACCCAGAATCACTTCAGACCAACAATGGGTTGTTTTTCTTAGATATAAGCACCTCTTTATTCATATGCCAAGACAATGTGAAAACACTGAGGTATTGCCCAGAACATTCCAGATGCAATTTTCAGACCACACTTCATCCTAAAAATAAAAAAAAAAAAAATATGTATCTCGAAAGTGTGTCCTTTGTCCTCTTAAATAAAATTGTCACAAAACCATCCTGCTAAGCCAGGGAAACATCCAGCTAGCCAAACACAGATCCATCTGCCAGGAAAACTGGATCCCTAAGAAAGAAATGTAATACACAAATGCTAGTTTCAGAAATGCTCAGGATACCAAGATGGTACGTACAGCCATTCAGTTTTAAATGGTATTTTTGAGGTAACAGTGAACTATAGTTTTAAGATATTTCAGATAATTCTAAAGAATGTGCTGTGATGCTTAAATACAGATGCCTATTAGTTTAGCAAAGCTCATTAAGTTAATTGGGAAAGCCTGTGCAGCAAAACGGATGGCAGAGATTTGGGATATCTTACAATTTCTGTTCCCACCTCTGCCTACAGTGATTTTGGTTTTTGTTTTTAAAACAGGAGAAAAACAGCATTTGCCTCCTTAATCACTAATAAACTGCAGAAAGAAACCTTTCAAAACACTTTGATGTAACTTTGACATGAACTGGTATTACTCTTCCTTTCAATCAAAGACTGTTTTCACCTCCTCTAAAAGTAAGGAGGTACTTCACTTGGTGGAACAGTATCATCCAGTAACCCATTAGAAAGATTGTTATTAAGTACTTCCAATGCTTTCCCCACGGTTTAAATTTACACACTACGATTCACAGTCCAATATCATGAAGTTACATGTGCCCAGCTTCACTTATTAAGTTTTTTTTGACCCTGGGACCTACTGGAAATTCAAAATCTATTTATAATTCTCAAATGAAAATATTTTATAGTGTCTCTATTTAAAATAAAATTTAAAAAAAAGTCAGCATCAGAGTGTGTTTAAGCAGCGATGCCAAGATTTTTCTTTCTTACAATGTCACGTTCCAAAAATTTCATTCTTAAAAGTTAAAACAAGTATAAACATAAAACTAAGTGCTCTTTCAAATAAGGATGACTTGAGAACTACAGTGCAATCTCTCTTGAAGCATAATAAATTAACCACAGAAAAGACTGGCTGGAGTAAAACTCTTCATTAATCTCAGATCAGCACTGGTGTGGTCCTTACCAAAATGAACTGGATTTCATTTAAAAGAAATCAGTCTCACTTTCAGCACACTCAGATACTTTAATACCCTCAAAGTGTATTGCTAGAAATCATAGAATCATAGAACAGTTAGGGTTGGAAAGGACCTTAAGATCATGCAGTTCCAACCCCCCTGCCATGGGCAGGGACACCTCACACTAAACCATGGCACCCAAGGCTCTGTCCAACCTGGCCCTGCACACCACCAGGGATGGAGCATTCACAACTTCCCTGGGCAACCCATTCCAGTGCCTCAGCACCTTTACAGTAAAGAACTTCCTCCTTATATCCAATCTAAACTTCCCCTCTTTTAAGTTTTAACCCGTTACCCCTTGTCCTATCACTACAGTGCCTAATGAAGAGTCCCTCCCCAGCACCCTTGTAGCCCCCTTCCAGATACTGGAAGGCTGCTATGAGGTCTCCATGCAGCTTCTCTTCTCCAGGCTGAACAGCCCCAACTTTCTCAGCCTGTCTTCATACAGGAGGTGCTCCAGTCCCTGATCATCCTCGTGGCCTCCTCTGTACTTGTTCCAACAGTTCCATGTCCTTTTTATGGTGAGGACACCAGAACTGCACACAATGCTCCAAGTGAGGTCTCACAACAGCAGAGTAGCTGGTCACACTCCTTTTGATACAGCATTTGCCAACCATCTCCTGGGCTGCAAGTAATGTGCATTACTGTAAAGCATGAGAAGAAGAGTCTCATGCATCACAGATAAACTAAGCTCTAAGCCAGAGTTCTGAGCAAAGAGACTATTAGCTATTTGCTCAAAGCAATAGCAAACTGGAATCACAATTTCCTGGACTGCAAACCCACGCTACCTCTGATAGAAAAATGTTTTTGAAAGAGAAGGTTATGCAAACTCACTGTTTTTATCTTCTTCCACATGACTCAAGTATTTTAATCTGTGACACTTCTAGTTACAGGTCAGGAAGAGACATACTGCTTGAATAACATTCTTCCTTAAATCATGAAGTACATTTTAATTACTTTTAGGTTTTGTCAGTTACCTGACTTTTTGCCCACTACTGAGGAAGTTAGTAAATGCTGATAATTAGATCAGGCCAGAGGTTACACTGTGATGTGGTTCCACTACAAATCCATCTGAGCCAGAAGCAAGGCTGAGCTAGGAACAGCTCTCACTCCCTCTCCAAACCAGTGATGCTTTGCAACCCTCTACCCACCTTCCTCCCAGGCAAAGCAAGGAAGACCTATAAATACTGATTATTAGAGGTTAAGCCAGAAGAAAAAAAAATTAAGAAATATTCCTCTATCAAAATAGGATGTTTTTCTATCAATTTTTTTTTCTATCAAAACAGAACCATTTTCTTTCAAAACTAAAATAATAGGTTGAAAATTATTTTTAGATATGGAAAACGAAAAATAAAAATCAGAGGGTTCTAATTACCAAGGTTGAGAACAGGAGAATAATGCCTCCAACCTTGAGCTGATTAATGAAAAAGCTAACTTCATGACACAGTACAACACGCACTGGGTCACTCTGCTCAGAGGAAACAAATTCTAAAGTCTACTGTGCTTTCCGTCCATTTCAATCACTCGTGTATTTATTGTTTTTGTCAAACCATACAAGCACAATAGCAAGTCTGAGGAGACATTAAAAAACTCATTTCTATTCTTATATGATTCCATGCAAAGAAATAATCAAAGAGGTTATTGCAACGTCAGAACATTTTTTTTTGGGGGGGGGGGTGGGAGGGAGAGAAGGGAATCTGCTTTCAATACTCTTATGTAAGTCTAAGAGAAACAAAAATAGAAAGCAAGCTAAATTCATGCAGTTCAGTTACTGATTTGTTCTCAAGTTTTTTCTATCCAAAACCCAGTTAGGGCACATTTAACTTCAGAAACATTCCACTCAACCTGTAGAATCTGTTCAAATTAAATCTGCTCTGACATAAACACAAACACAGGCCTGATACTTGGGGTAACCCCTCAGCTACAGTCACCCTTAATTTATCAGCACAAGTATAAAGCTTCAGAGAAAAGTTATTTTCTCCACTGAGGGTCAAATGTACAGTTTTCTGAAACTCAAGCATCTCTGAAGGGTGACAAGAACTACCAGGAACCTCTTCTAACTTCAAAGAAAATACTGTTTATTTATACTGAGAGACTATAGGATGGGGGGGGTCTGGTTCTGAATTTTACTTTTTTTATTCAAAGCTATCAGTCACATAGAATGACTTTACATGGAATTTATGCTGATGCCCAACTTCCTCTGAAAACTGTTTGCTTGCAGATAAGGAGGAAACTAGAAATAATGAACTCATGTATCAATTACATGTCAGAATTATTTAGATATTTATTTCAGAAAAGCAGAACTGCATGATGTTTTGAGTTTCTGTGGGTTTTCCTTTTCCTTCCCAAGTGTCTTATAAAAAAATTCCACAGAACTCAGACAAAGTAAACTGAGTGCACCAAGGCATACAAAGGTCTTTTTTTGACTTTTCTCCTGAATTCTCTCTCTCAGAGATCTCAACAGTTATTCTCACTTAACTTTTTTCCTCTTTTTTTCTCTCTCCCTCCCACTGGAGCATATTTTTCCCATATTAGGCAGACAAGATAACAGATATTATTCTTTCGTCCATCTTCAGATATACTTCTTTCATGAGGGAACAATCTGGCATAGGGTGAACTCTAAAGCTGGTTTCTCTCCAGCATTTGGGGTCTTTCCTTACTACAAGTAGTTGTCCTCCTTGGTATCACATTTTTTACACAGTAACACAAAGCAAGCACCTCTTCCTCAAGCAGATGGAGTAGGTCCAGGTTCTTCCCTGTGACACCCACGTTAAAACTGATTTCTGGCAACAAACCCTATATATATATATATATATATATATATATATATATATATATATGTATATATATGTGTATATATCTATACACACACACACATTTCGTCTCAAAAGCAAAGACCTGTCACATGTATCTATGATTATCTTAAATTACGAATTCTTCAGAGAGTGATGACTTTGAGCTATGAAGTGCAAGATTTCTAGATGCTAGCATAATATGAATGTGTGCATCTATTTAATGAACACTTTAATATCTGTATTTCAATGAGAAACAGTCATAGGTCACTGGTTTCCTTCCAAAAGCAGCGAATGCTTTTAAATTTAACAATCATGTAATCTGTATTACAGTTGTTGTGAACTAAGTTGAGCTAAGTGAATTCCTTTAACTGAAGTAACTAGCACAAGAAGTGGCTAAGCATGGGAAGGTGAAGTTGCTGCAGCCTTAGGCCATAAGCAACTAACTCCCACTTAGATAAAGCTGAATTTAATTTACAACCTGCGCTTAGTTATGCAAACAAACACCTTGAGACCAGTGCAAATTGGAAGATAAAGGCATTGCATCCAGTCAGCAAGGAGCAAGAAACAAGAGAGAGATAAGACGGAATTTACAGCTGGCCTCAAGATAAGGAAAGAACCCAATAAGGCATGAGGAGACCCCAAACCAAAATTCACCACCGGACCAAGAGGCATGTGCAAGGCACATGAACAGTGTGTGATGGTTGGGTGAATGGAATGTAAGGGTATATGAAACACCAGGAATTCCTTTGTTCTGGGTCCCTCCCTGGCGGCAC